CGCTCCCCCCCCCCCCCCCCCCGAAATTGTATTAAGAAAAATAATTGTTGTAGGCCTATTGTGTTATTGATATGAATTACCGGTATGATTTTTAAGGTATGAGAGTGCAATTTCTGAAAGTTAATGTTCTCACCAACCCCAACCATGGTGAGGCTGAGGTGGTGTGGTCCCCTACCGCCAAATCTCAAATCTTGCATCCGCCCCAGCATCCACAAGAAGACCTATTAAACATTCACCCCTCTATTTCCCCAGAGCATACCTGTAGTAGTGTTGCAATATTTGACTAACTGTAGGCCTAATACATTCCTGAGGTTGTTGTCCTACTATTCCTCCAGGAAGTTGCCACCACTACATTAAAGCATGTGTTCCCAAATTATGATGACCCGGCATTACTAATTAAATGAGTCATCGATCCCAGTGTTTCCTGTCCCTATGTTTTGGCCTACCTGCGTTTAGTTAGGAAATCAGTTCGAGTATTGATTTTAGAGACAATACATCAGTCCTAATCAGTGTACTCCTCAATATTGTATTTATATTAAAGTATATTTGCAACTATTTTACTTTTGTCTCCTGCTACCTCCCTTATTACATTATCTTGGCTCTCGACGCGTACTCCGATACGGTGGCTAGCGGTGGTTATAAGCTATGACAGATTTTTTTTTTTTCAATATCGCCAGTTACAAGTGTCGTAAAACTTAGTGTGTGAATAGCCTACAATTTTAGGGTTTCCATTCTGTTGTGTCTTCTTTAATGCGTTTGAAATGTCTGTTCCATATAAATACTAAAATAATCGCTAAAATTTTCACATTCAAGATTTGGATGAATATTGTTTGAGTTTTTGTTTATTATTTTCATCCTACAAACGTTTGGGATCGTGTTTATATTTGTTTTGCAACTGATAAAGAATAACTTTGATTTGAATGTTCAAATATTACTCGTGCATTTGTTTCTAAGTGAACGAAGTAGCAAAGACACGCTAGTCACTCGTCGAAAATCCTGTTTCAGAGATAATGGCCAAAATATGATGGAATGGCAATATTTTTGAAATCTATTTTATTGAAACCTTAATATATCTATACATACCCATCTTGGAAATTAAAAAAAAAGAAAAGAAAAAGAAAGAAAAGAAAAAAATTGATGGCCCCAAAAGCCTCAAAGGTTATTTTTGGGCGTCTAGAACACAAAAGTCGCGGAGGCATGCCCCCGGACCCCTAGGGTATTATGTCGATGGGCCCTACTTTCAGACCCCTGCTTAAAAAGCAATCCAACGTTATAGTCTGTACACATCTTAGCTGACACCCACTTTTAAATCACCCTCCCTCAAAAGCTACCTCCTCATCAATTTCCCACCTGGCACCTTTCAAGATTTACTCTCTTACACGCATTCCCTGAGAATGCTGTACTCTATAAAGATGAATTTGATTCAGAAATTCAGAAAACAAACGATTTTTTGGGCGGCTGGTTTCACGTCTAGTCAGTGTACGGAGTCATATGATACTGGAAAGTGGAAAGATAAAAAAACACTCGCGAGGGGATTGTAGAGTAAGACTACTGTCCTATATTATTCCATTAATTATGCACTATTACAGGGGCTTAGTGATAGAATAAGATGCAGAAAAGAACCTTAGCTCTGCTCGTTTTCGCAAATTCCATCGGATCATCTCGAAATTGATTCAGAGAACTAGGCTAGGCCGAACAAAAACGTTAGGCCTTGCATTGCATGGCTGGGTAGGAAAGGACGTTAATCCTGTTTATCAAGCCCGAAAGGGTTTCTCCCGCATCAAGCGGAAAAGAATTGGGCCTTGACATTGGCCTAGGCTTATACCATTAAAGACTGGCAAATCAATGTACGTTTTCTGCAATAAAACTCACATAACCTATTTCAGTCTGTATAACATTGGAAGCGTTTTGGCGATACATTGTATGAGAAGAACAATCTAAGTATTTAGGTCTGAAAGGAAAACAAATCAGATCTGCACTTTTTTATGATTTGATAAATGATGGCGCAAACAAGGTACTAACTAGGTAGCCTAAGCCTAAGCCCATACTACATGGCGAGGGAGGGAAGTACAGAAACAGTGTCAGTGGAAGATGTAGCAGGTCTGGTAGTTGTAGAAACGTCAAATACAGACATTGAATTTGAATCGTTCGGAAACTTGCGAACTTTTCATTCTAGCTCAACAGATGATGAAGATCTTCAAAACCAGAAGGTATACATCAGAGGTCATGAAAGGTACAGAATGTCTGATCAAAACAATAACCTATTTTTTACCTACCACTGTTATACTTTTCATTGTTCCAAAATTAATGAAGAGACTCTTAAGACAGGCCCACAGTATTTTATACTGGCGCCAACATTGGACGAAGCCCCATGGTCCCCAAAAGAGGCCCCAGAGTGTGTGAAAATAATAATTTATTTTGATTTATAGTCAAGAGTACTGACGTTATGTAGTCTTTTCAGCCCTAACTTTCATAATGTTCTTAGGTTAGCAAATATTGAAATTCATGAGCCCATGAGAGCCCCCAACACTTTTTCAACTCTGGGCTCCATGACTCATCATAACACCACCTGCAGTAAATCTTTTATTAGCAGATTCCTATATTATCTGACAATATGATATATTTGCTTTTGTTAAATATCAAGTAATGGTATTGTTAATGTCATATTGTCGCTTCTTTTTTTTTTGCAGGAGTGTAGAACAAGCTGATGTCCCTGTTGGCACACCATCTGGTAACTTTCCGCTTATTCCTGAAGACTACTTGTCATCCTTAATGCATCCTTCAGAAGAGCATGTCAGCAGACCAACAAGTCTACAAATCCAGAAGAAAAGACATAGAGATCGACTGCGTAAGAGAGAACTAAGGTTAAATGTTGATTACAAGTAAGGAATATTCATCATAGTCAAAAAGAAATGTAATACCATATTTATTCGAATAAATACCCCACTTTGAATACATGCCTCCCTCGGATAAACTCCCCCTCCAGAGCTTCATTTGGAATAAACGCTCTGGGTGTTTATTTTTTCCTCGAATAAACGCCTCTCTAAATGACTGTATACAAAACAAATGGAAGCATCATCATTCTCAATGCATTCTACTATTGTTTTACTCCGGTAGAATTGCATTTTTTCTAACCTGGTTTGGATCAGTTAGTCTTTATGATCACGCAGTAACACATTTTGGCGGTACTTATGCATTGTACAGTAGTTCCACATTTGCAGTGAAATTAAGGGGCGTTGATTAGTGTATGCGTATCCAATTTACACCAATAAAAATAAACGCCCATTTAAAAACCATTCTGAACAATAAATGCCCTAGTCAAATAAATACGATAGTCCCTCCGTGATGCTACAACATTTGCTAACCATTCTGATTTTGGTAGCTATCTGTTGATATCGGTTTTCTTATTGTTACATTTTTCTAAACACAGGAAAAAAGATAGAGCTGGAGCCAGACTGAGAATGAAGAAACGAAGAAAAGATCCAGTTTACCGATCCATCGAAAGAGAAAAGGACAGAACACGACGCCAGAAAGCACGGCAACTCCAGAAATTAGCCGACTCCAAAAATAATGGAAACAACGTTCTGGAAAACATACAGGAAAGGGATGGGAATATGCAGAGTGATGCTATATGATATTGAATATAATTACAGTACTAGGGATTCCAAAAGGGGTGCATGTGTGGCAAAAGTACTAGATCGCAGGGGTGGCGCCAGGATTTGCCCGACGGGGAGGCCGAGGTCCCCGACGGGGGGCCCGATGCCCCGACGAGGGGTCAGATTTCCCCGACGAAACTAAAGTGGGCGTAGTCGAGCTTCGATTAAAAGGTTTCAAAGATGGTCCTGGGGGGGCGAAGCCCCAGAAAACTTCGACAATTTAGGGGTTTCAAAAGCTTATTTAATCGATTTTAGAGTCTACTAATATGTAGAAAATACATATAATTTTTTTTCTCCCTGACGAATTGTGCTTTTTCTCCCCAACAGGGAGGCCAGCTCTCCCCGACTGGGGGGGCCCTGCCCCCCGCTGGCGTCACCCCCTGCTCTGATATAACTTGTGAACTGTTATATCAGAGGGAATAGCATACACCAATCTTAATAGTACAGCAATTATCAAAGATAGCATGAATGCACCAGATAGGCTTAAATTTTAACAGCAAATTTTTCCTAAAATTGTCCTCAATTTTAATTTTATAAAAGCAAAATTTTAGGACATTTTAATGTACAATATCAAATCATATCTGAAATTGTCAGAAATATCATACACATAACAAATTTGAAGGATATATTATTATATTATTAATGTTATTGTTATTATATTTTATATTATAAATATATGATAAATAATTTTATTTATATTGTATATACTTATTTTTATACTTATTTTTAAATTTATATTGTATATAAACTATGACAAATAATAGAATTGATAGCATTTTGAATATGTTACAGTACATATTTTAATGAAAATATATAACATTGTAAGTAGTGAATAGCAAGTAATAAAATATTCTAGATGAAATAAGTATAGTTTGTTATTTTAACATATCATGCAATTTGCAAAACAAATGTGATCATAATCTGTTCGAATTGGGATAATGTTTTGACCAACCTGACATATTGTTGTACAGTAGTATATACAGTTCTCAGTATGTTCCAAAATTCTTGCTAAAGCAAAATCTTGCGAGTGATTTGTAAGTACTAGTATGTGAGAATTCACTTTAGATACTAGTACGGCAATATGTAAAGTTTTTCCAATGCAAAACACCTACTAAATACAGTAATCAGATTAGAGTACATTCAAATTCAAAAGATTGATTTTATTCAAGTTGATTTGCTTAACAAAAATTTTTTTTAAATTTAAACTAATTGTTAAAAGTCATTTACAACCAGTTTTCCACAATCTGAATTAATGAGAAAGGTGAACACTTTTCAGACAAACGTATTTGTCCACGGCATTCATCCACACAGTAGATTGTTTGATTTAAAATCTAAATTCAGGAAATGGTATGTTGTCCGCCCTCAATCATTCGCTTTAAAAACTATCTGAAGGCGCATCTATTTGCTTTTACTTTTGTATACTTTAGTACTTGTAATCTGAATTTACATGATAAACTGATAATATATTCTGATGTCATTATTTCTAAAAACATTTAATGTAGCTTTTGAATACCGCACCAGGGTTTTTTCGCCGGACATTTAATGATATGGTAGCCTTCAGTAACTTAACAACTGAAGGCCTCGACATTGTCAGTATAATTATGAAACAGCTCTATAAAATCCCTGCAAACTAGACGATCTTGTTTTTTTTTTTAAATAGATCCAGCATGTAATGAATGCCAATGAGACCGAGGTCTATGCACTACATTATTAACCAAATGAATATATGCACAAGGGAGATGGGTAATGTGTTATGGAACTGCAACCCGCCAGAGACTTCTTTTCATCAACTGAAATAAACTCGATGATAAGCTATGCTTGATACGATTATTACATACATGTTCCTATTTCAGCACTGGGGCATTAGTATTTATCTATTTGTATAAGATGTGTATAAGAGACAGCACCAATCTTAAAGTATAGTACAGCAAGCAGACGTAGGTCATCAAAGATAGCATGAAGGCACCAGATAAGCTTAAATTTTAACAGCAAATTTTTCCTAAAATTGGCCTCAATTTTAATTTTATAAAAGCAAAATTTTAGGACATTTTAATGTACAATATCAAATCATATCTGAAATTGTCAGAAATATCATACACATAACAAATTTAAAGGATATATTATTATATTATTAATGTTATTGTTATTATATTTTATATTATAAATATATGATAAATAATTTTATTTATATTGTATATACTTATTTTTATACTTATTTTTAAATTTATATTGTATATAAACTATGACAAAAGTATCTGTCAGAGTAACACTGATTCTTGCTATGTTTTTGGGTGTTGACATTTCAGTAGGCCATAGACGTCTGCTGTGTAATGTATTTCATTGAATAAATAAGTACTTCTTTATGCTGATGTACCAATAATGTATTTCATTGAATAAATAAGTACTTCTTTATGCTGATGTACCAAGTAAACAGCCATAAGTAAACAATCATGATCTTAACAGTAGAGTAATTCAGAACACTTGTTCATTCGAATAGCCCTATGAGATTCAATATTTGCATTATTGCTATTTATTACCTTTTCAAGAACGAAACATAAGGTCTACGATAACTGAAGACGGATAAGTGTGTGTAATGTGTGTGTGGTGAGTGAGAGAGTAATATATTTTGGATGTATTTCGTTTTTGACGAGTTATCTGTGGTTATGAAATATTTTATATAGGCCTATTGACTAATGAGTCGGACAGGTTTCACCTTTCTCCCGATGACGGTCCGGACCAATCTAATTGAAACGTCGAGACAACCCAGAGCTGTTTTTTTTTTTACCACAACGATATTTTTACACATATGGTGCTAATGACCACGGAGTTGAAAAGTGATTTTATGACTATGAAATACACTTGTAATGGAAAATATCCACTTAATAGAAAATCTCCACTTTAGTGTATGACTATTAAGTTGTTTCCAGTTAATATCAGTTGGTGAGGCCGACGAGGGATATACTTAAGTTGAATTTAATTTATATGTACAGTATTTGTATTCTCGAGTTTCTCCAAATCAACGATTTTCAATGGACATTGTCTAAACGAATTCAAAATAGCCTTTTGTCTGAATGTGTGATTGTCATTGAAACTGAGCCATTGGTCTGAATGGGAATAGGTCCTATGAGAAGGCTTAGCCTTATTTGCCATTAGCATTTTATGGCACAACTCTTGCATATACACTGCTACTATAGCCAGACCAAATAATATTGAGTAGACTGACTGATCAGGTAGCAGCACTTAATTGCCTTGTGATCAGCCCGATCAGCGGGTGCTGCGGCATTGTCTGCGGAAGGTTGAGCGATACCTCCAGGGTTTATACAAAAGTTGTCTTTTTAACCGGCCCAAAATAATTGAATAGATATTTTGCATTAATAAAGAGCGTTTGTGCATTCTGATTGAGAGAGAGCAGGTAAGTTAGCTCAGTCGGCCAATCTGTTGGTAGCCACTGTGCGCTGAACCGTAAATAACTCTAGGTCCTCGGTTCAATTCCCATCGCTGCCTCTCCTTGTGTTTCAGCTGGAGGGCTGAAATACAAGTTACAATAGCGCACCGTCTTTCGGATGAGACGTTCAGCCGTTGGTCCCGTGTGCATTTATGAACCATGTGCACGTTACAGAACGCAACTCTTCGGAAAAGAATAGGGGATTGTCTCCCGGTGTACTGCCCAGCACCAGATGAAGGACCCCATTGGAAATAAGTCTTTTTCCAGACTTTTGAGGGTTATTCTTGGTGTTTACACCGAATAAATCCAATCCAATTGAATTGGTTTGATGGTACACCTATTATTTATATTTTAAGTATTGGTGGTAAAATTATTCGTTTCCCGACTTGTGTAAACCAGATGGAGTTCAGATAATTGCAGCAATTGCCATATCACGCAAACACCAGCACTGTGTCTTACTGAAACAAGTCTTTGTCATCGATGTGGCGATCTCTAGCTGAAGGTAATTAAAAAATCATCGGAAATCTACTGAGAAGAATATTTGCAGAACCAATTTATTATGAGGTCGATCGTAAGATCTAGACACAGGTCAGATTAGATAGAGAAGCAGTGGTGGGACCAGTATGGAGAGTGGGGTGGGGGGCTTGGCATGAATAGCTGGCCCTGGGGGTGCAACGCAACTTGTCAGAAGAAAATATAATCCTGTAATTTTTACTGATTATGAGATCCTAATTTGATTGTGTGATCTAAATCTATAAATTGTCACGGGCCAGGAGCTCGTTTCGGACCTTGCGATTGTGAAGCCTGACTTAGCACTACCATAATTGCTTGAATAAGCGCCGCGGCGCTTATAAATTTTTGGAGGCTTCAGTGCGGCGCTTATTCGAGAGTGGCGGCGCTTATTCGAAAGCGGCGCTTATAAGAAAAAGTATTGGCGTGACGCTTTCCATGCCCTTTACCATGTTACCTACCTTACGTATTCTTCATAGGTGTAAGTCATCGTAAACAAACGTTTATAAAAGAAATACTTGTGTCTTCATTGTGTTATTTATTCATTTTAACAATATATAAATTGTATTTAAAGCACTGCTTCTCAAAGTGTTTCATTAAACACATGGTTTATACCTTCGATTAAGCGCCGCGGCGCTTATTTGAGCATTTACGGTATGCTATGCACATTCCTAAGTACGTCAAGTCTGCTTTCGTTTCCAACCAAAGCGTTGTGTAGACAATAGGCCAGTATTGTCACAGTCAAAGTGTATTGTATTTATCAATCCTACGGCAAACGTCAAAACCTTGACTCCTTTTAATATGGAAGCCAAGGACGCAACCTTTTGTATTGGCCTAAAATATAGTTACTTCTATTGAATTACAAATAGGTTAATGTTCTACTGCCAAACGCAAATTTGTTCCATTTAGCCTCGTGCATGTACGCCTTATGAGTAGGCCTAGGCCCTACTCTCAATAATCACTAGGTTTGGCCTACATCAAGCTTTGATGAAACCCGATAGATACCTTTTAACAAACAAAAATAATATTTTACTGTATTTCTCTAGTAGGCCCTGTATCTGATACAATGAGTCTTTCCAGAGTGTCAATAAAACATTACAACTGACCAATCAAAACAAGGCCAGGAATACGCGTGTGTCCCCCAAAACACACGTGTTGTCCCACAAACGCATATACTTGTATAAGGGGCGGGGCTTAGAAGAAAAGTTCAATAATGTTTCTTAGGCCTAATCGTTTTGTCGTGATCGATAATTAAGGCCTATCATCATTATCCTCGTATCATCTTCATCATAATATTCATAAATGAATTATGATTTCCATAGGCCAGTGTTTAGCAGAGGTGCGACAGTAGACCCTTTGTGAAGCAGCAATAATAGTGGCATGGATATCTCGATAATAGTTGTGAACTAATATAATAAAGCAATTGTGCATAAGTATAATACGGTGATATTTATCAAAGTTAAGTTATACTACTTCACTAGCTTCATTGTATAGTGTGACCTGCTAAATGGTAAGCCTGGTTAAATTTGATGAAGCTATTGATTGTAATTGCCGAGGTATAGTAAATAGTATGTATTCAATGGGTTGCTTGAATGGTATCATTTACATTGACTTTAATCCAAACAGCTCGCTTTATAAACAAATATTTCTGAAATTGCCTTTTACACAACTGAAAGTGTTACTTTCAAAACAAGGCTCCTGGGATTGTAAAACAGATTCCGTTCACTCTTTCTGCTGTGGCCCAGGATTTTCCCGATGGCTGGATTTCCCCAAAAGGGAACGTGTGGGTCAGGCCAATGACCAGAAGCAATCACAATTGAAGATTTTTAAAAGCTTATTGAATCGATTTTGGAGTCTCATGATTACTCTTTAAAAAATACATTAGGAAAGGATTTTTCTCCCCGTTGTTGAGCTCCCGTGGGTGGGGTTTGAGGGTAGCAGTCTACTTACGTTTGCCAAGACCAGAACTGGTTTTGAGCAGTCATCCAAACCAACATAATTACAATATGATGTACTTTTGAAGACGTACGTCATGGATACTTATAGCATTATTGGCTTTATTACACCTCAACAATACGCTTTGAAAATATTTTGGAAGAAATGTTTCAAATAAAAATTAAGTTATGAAACTAATATTTTCACAATAATTCATATATTTAATTTAAATATAGACTTATGAAAGTTCGAATACGTTTATAATATATTCATATACGTTCAGCCTATGCCAATTTCGTTTCTTACAAATTGGACCACCGTGAAAAATCGTATATAAAAATAACAGAAACTTAAAAAAAAAAAAAAATACAACGTTATGCAATGCAATAATACTGTATATAGAATAATGTATATCTACCATGATTAATGTAATGACTTGTATAACGTTTATTGAAAAAATGTTCTTTTTATCGGATTTGTCAGTGCGTTAGTTATAGAGTCTTATGGCGATTGAACCATAAGTGAAAGAACAAATATCCTTAACACCTTTGCATAATAAAGTCAACCGTAGGGCTTTTGATAAACACGCTGGATGGAGCTCAAATATTTGGGAGTGCCTTTTAGTGTTTGATGGTATCGACCAGAAGGTCGTACCATTGTTTAGAAATATTCTTTATAAAGCCTTCTAAAGTGATACACTCGTTTTATCAACACTTCCAAATGCAAACGTTATTAAAGTGTACACAAACACATATGCACACACACATATATATATAATATATATATATATATATATATATATATATATATTATATGGGCCTATATATAGGTGTGTGTGTATATATAAACCATGATATACTATACATAGTAATAAACTCTAAATCGTCGAACACTATCATATTTGGTGTTTCGTATTGTTAATGTTGCCAAACAAATATATGATTATCAAGTTTCTTTTGATAATATTATATTGTAAAGGCGACATATCCTTTTATCACCATATATTTTTTATGTTGCAATAACAACATATGATTATCAAAAGAAATTTGCCATCTATACGAAGTATACAGTTCTCAATCAATCCCAAAATTTGAAAACTAAATCTTGATAGTAACTTTATAATTTCAGATAAGAGATAAGGGACCGTGATGTACCAAAAGGCACATTGGGTGACCCTAGCAGGCATCATCTTTATCTGTTTGAAATATTCATCTGCTCAAAATGGTAAGTAGGTCTTTATTTGCACATAAATAGTAAGATTTAGCTCCTAGGCATTTTGTCCTGTTGCATGCATTTTTGCAAGACCTTATACAGGTAGGCCTCTGATCATAGTATTATTAATTTTATAGAGAGATGACGGACAATAGATCATAATACAAATAATAATAATATATTCATATATAAGCCTAACCCAGTTCCTGTATCATTTAATGGTACAGTTTTACATTATATCGTCTCAGTTTCAAAAGTATTAAGCGTAAATTCACTAGGACAAATATCATGAGATATGATATATCATGATATATATATATATATATATATATAACATATATATAATATTAAACAAAATAACGA